GGCGGCGGGAGCCTCCGGGTGAGCCCCCGCACACTCAGGGGAGAGAGAAAGGCAAACAGCTTTAGTCCTGGCAGCCTCTGAAATGGCTGTTGGGACAGCTAGGATCCTCGAGCCACTCTGAGCCGCTCCAATGAAAGCTTTTGACCTAGTACTTCTTTACATTAAGAGGTAAATTCAAACTCACTTTGCTAATCAAAGTAGTTTTTGCAAAGTGCACAGGCTGCACGAGCAAGAACTGGAGACCCAAGTGAACCACTCGGCCGGACCTGTCACCCTGATCCAGGCTGCGCCAGGAGCTCCAGCTAGGTCTGCATGGCCTCGCACCAGCCTCGTCTTCGGGCAAAGTGAAAGAACCAGCAAGACCCACTTCCAACATACCCAGCTTCAGCATCTCAGCTGGAGGGACAGGTGGCCCCTAGGGCTGGGTGAGCACTCAAAGCAGTGGGCACAGCCAGTGCAGCTCCATTATGTCCAGACCTGCGAGTGACCCCTGGCAACTAGCTCGGCCAGTCGGCTCTGCTCAGCCCGTGGCATCTGATCAGGCGAGCTGAGCAGGCACAGCAGGTACCATTCTAGCGTTATCTGAACAGCTTAAGCCACAATTTACGCTTGAGGCATAGGTGCTTTTCTAATGCCTGAAAGGTTAAATATGGCCAAAGTCAGATCGCAGTTTCTTTGGGAGTCAGTGTCTGGCTTGGGAACACATTCATTTGTTAAATAGACAAACACTGTCTTCAAACACTAAAAACACAAGCAGGGTCGGGCCTGGTTAGTATTTGGGTGGGAGACCACCTAGGAAGACCAGGTGCTGTAGGCATAAAAAATTTAAAAAATAAAAAAATGAGGGATTGTATGATGATGAGGTCCTTGCAATCTGTGAGGTCAACCAAGGGTTGACTCACCTAAAAAATAAAATAATTTTTTAAATAAAATAAATAAAAACATAGCTGCTGACTAGGGTGAAGCGAGATGGGGTCAAATGTGGCAGAGGTGAGCGAGGGCCTGAGTGTCAAGTGCAGGGTACAGGCGGGCAAAGGCTGGACGGCGACCAGGGATGGCGAGGTGAGCCCGCCAGGACGGGGGCAGAGCTGGGCCGGAACTGCAAGAGCAACTCCCAGGGGCCGAGCCGCCGTCTCCGCCCCCGAAAGCAGCACGAGAAAGCAGGGGGCGGAGGGGCCGCACGGGCCCCAGGAGGCCCGGAGCAGTTTCTGGAGAGGCCGACTGGCCTTAGTCACAGAGCAATGGTGCCTCAGAGAGGGTGGTCGCCTCTCAGGTGTCTGTGTCCACTGACCTCACACCCAGGACGGTCGGGAGGCCGTGAGGATTAGTCTCAGGGATCATTTTCACGTTCACCTTTTACCGCGAGACGAGAGGACAGTGTAGTGGGGGTGCATGTGAATCAGGTGAAGGCCTCAAAGACGAAACGGAGAGGATGGAAATCGTGAGAACAGCCGAAACCCCAAAGGTAATTACAGAAGATCCACAGAGAAACGAGAAAAGTGTGGGGGACACTGGCTCGTGTGCTGTCTCCAAGCACGTGAACAGTCAGGCCCCGGAACGTGTCAGCTGCCGTCGCCTCCGATCCCCGTGTAGGGGCAGCTGGCCGCACGCGTTAAAAACTGCACTATGTTTAAAGCGAAGCATCTGCCTAAGACCAAGGGCTGTAATTCACAAATCAAGTATCCGCTGAAGGTGCTGAACGGCCATCTAACTTAAGCTCACAAAAGCCAACTCCAGAGTCTCGGGCGGACCTCGCTGCCCTTCCCGCCATGCCCCCCACTCCTCCCTGGCTGGGGACACGCTCCAGGGTCACAGGCTGGCCATGCTCACTTTAGAAGGCAACGACAACTTTCACCAGAGGTGCCCAGGGCTCGGCCGCAGACTCGTCTCAGTCGGAGCTGGGAAGCCTGGGAGGGAGCTGTGCGGACGTTGGCTCTGGCGCAAAGCCAGACTGCCGAAGCCCCACCTGGCCCAGGGACCAGGACCCATGTCACACGATGCCGCACGGGGACCCGAGCTTAAGCCCCACTGTACTCAGTGCCTGAGGCAGAGGGAAGAAAAAAACCGAGGTCAAAGGGAAAATGTGCACCCCAAAATGACCAGTTCCATACGCACTGTGACACAAACCTCGACAGCACGTTGGGTGAGGTGGCCGTCACGAGACACTTGTGACTCCATCCACGTGAACACCCAGAAGAGGCGAATCCAGACAGAAGGGGGCAGTGGCAGTGGCAGTGATGGCTTCTGACAGGGAGATGAAAACACTCTGAAACCTGTGATGGGGGCGCGACCCCGTGAAAGGCACCAGACCCCGTGGAACTGCGTGCTTTAAATGGATGGACTGCACAATGAAACTGTTCTTTACAAAACGGGCAGGTCGCCTCACTGAAAGAGAAATCGGATGTCACTTCCCATCCGTGAGCAGAGGGCAGATGTCCCGGACTGTTAGCTCCCAGAGGACAAATGCTACCGTACGCTAACTGACCCAATCCAGGTTCACGAGCTGGGACAGCTGGTTTGGTGTTAGTTTAACACGGTTTCCAAGCCCATAACCCTCCCCCCCACCTCCATTGACCTCTGGAGTTCCCAAGAGCAGGTTCTACAAGGACCGCAGACCAGCACTCAGCCACAAAGATGTCGCCATAGGCAGGAGGCAGGAGTCTGTCAGTCCCCAAGTCCTGCTACCGCTAGAGAAAACCAAAATCAAGACCTGCCATTTACAGCCAAGAATCCAACGCTGTGCTCTGATGCCGACGAGCCCCTCAGAGCTCGGCGTGTTCTAGCTCATTCCCAGGGCACACCCTGAGGGGAGCACACAGGAGACCGAGGCCTGCTACACGGAGCAGATGGCAGAGCAGGTCTGAGCCCATGGGCCAGCTCCAGAACCTGGTCCCTGGCCACCAGGCCATGTGGCCTCAATGCTCGGTCCTGCCCAATAAAGCGACATTTTCCTACCGTCACGTCACTTTCCCATGACAATTCATTTACTGCACATTTTTACCCCTGGGTCATGTCCTATTTTTCTAGCTTTCCACTGTAGGTTACAACAATGGCCGCTTCCGCAGAAGCCTCGGGGCCGTCACAGACCTGGGCTTTCAGCTCTCAGCTGCACGTATCATGAGCACATGAGGGAACAGGTAAAACGCCAGGCTCCCCGTGGCCGACGCCTGCCCCTGTGCAGCACCCCCACCTCATGCCACCAGGGTTCCCGCCCCCGCGGACCCCACTTCTCTCCCTCACCTGCAGTGTCTTGCCTGCATCTAGTGACTCCTGGAGATGTCTCCTCAATACTTGGGTTGAGCCGAAGACAAGCTCAAGGCTTCTTTGCTCCCTTCCCCCCTCACCCAGAAGACAGAAATCCTGCCCAGGGGAAGTCAATAGGCCAGCAGGTGTGTCCTTCCCAGAGCCTCATGAGGGGCAGCCAAAAGGGGAGGGGCTTTCCCACGCAGGGTCCCCAGGAGGCAAGCACTGCCAGCGACAGTGGGCAAAACCAGCCAAGCACCACACCTTGCCCAGGACAGACCAGGGGCACGCGCACACACACTCTGTGGGGAGACCGTGTACCTGCATCATCCATAGAAGACACCCTGGGTTCTGAGGTTGGTCTCTGCTCGTGTGAACCCTCAGCACATGCACCACCCCCCGTCCCCCCACTCTATGTCCCTCTGCACGGAGTCTGCAGAGTCGGCCTGCTCAGGGCTGCGACGTGCAAGGGCCTGATTTGTGATGACAAAGGGGCATGTGCAGGGCACTAGCGGCCGCCGGGGGTGCTGAGGAGTAACCCTCAAAACCAGACGGGTCCCCAGGTAAGCTCAGCGGCACAGGCCACAGAGGGCAGGGCACTGGCGGAGCTCTGAGGGCCTTTCCCGGGGTGCCCTCGGCCCCTGGGCCCAGCGCTCAGCCCCCTCCTTGGACGGAGGATGAGAGCAGAAGACATCCTCCCACCTGAGGACAAGATGTAGCTGGCGCCCCTCCCGAAGCAGATTCTGGGGCTGAGAAAGAGGGGCCCAGGAGTGTGCATTGCCCAGGGCTGGCGCCGGGGCCACAAGTCCCAGCCTGGGCTCACTACGTCACGGGCACCCCGCACTCACAGATGCAGACTCCCACGTCCAGCTGTGGCAGCGACAGGACGTGCTTGTGTTTCTGTCCCGATGCCTCCAGACCACTTTTCACCGGTCACCAGGGGAAGAGAGCGCCGGAGGGCAGGACAGAGTGACCGCAGGGCCCTGCTCACAGCTGCTAGCATGACATTCGGGGCCACTGCCGGCTCACGCACTCGCCTACAGGTGTAGGAACCCTCCGCCATTTATTAGGATGCGCGTGTGCGCAGGTGCAGTTCACATCTGGCGCGAGTCCTCACTTGGACTATGCCTGGGCTCCACCCTGGGGACGCCCCGCCACCCACTGCAACCCAGGGGACTGCAAAGGACCACAGGGCGATCACAGAGTCCTGGTCAGAGCCCGAACAGTGACCGAGTGTCTCAAGCTCTATGCGACTGGTGCCGCTTCACAGAAATCTGCTTTCCCTCGCACAAGTCCAGGCAGACCAGGCTGTCGTGTCTCCTCCTGACCCTTGTATCAGGCCCTCCGGAGACATCCAGGCGTGCACAGCAGCTGGCCTACGTGTCAGTCACACCCACGCCCCCGCACCCCCCGCAGGCACACACCTACCTGCAGAGGACAGTGGGCAGCCCTGCAGTGGGACAAGCAACGACTGTGTCCTGCTCCCTCATCTAAGCTGCTTAGTGTCACGTCAGAGTCTCGTCCTGGACTCTGCCAACACGGACGTCACGTCTGGGTCTGCGTGCCCTACACGCCCACTGCCCTGAACGGCTCCGACCCCGCACTGCCCCGACAGCACCGGGAGCAGACACTTAGCCCGCGACTGCGATGGCGTCCGCACTGCACAGGCCCCGGAGCAGAGGCCAGGCGAGCACGTCACAGCGCGCCTGCTGGGGACAAGCACACTGGGGCTTTAGAAGGGTGGCCCCCTGGGATACAGTTCTTTGTCTTTCCTAAGGAGGTCATTGTACATCTGATCGTATGTGGTTTTGAAATCGTAAACATTCGGCTTGTCGGGTGCTGGTCCTGGAAGCTTCACGTGGGTTCCTGTTCCGAAGGACCGGACGCTGAACCCCCGTTTGCTGAAAGACACAAGGGAGAGGAAAGATCACAGTCAGATTAAAGAAGACACAGAATTCTGAACATAAGGGACATGAAATGGCAAATGGACAACATGGGTAACAGCTGCTATTCGAGAACATGTTTTTCAATCCTTAAACTATTTTATTCACAAATGTAAAAAGTCCTGCAGTCTGTCACAGCTAAGCTGCTGCAACCAGTCAGAAGGGGAGACACGGGGCCCTTCGGGATTGGCTATAGGTCTGCAGTGTCGCCCCAGCTCCGAGGAGCCCCGAAGGGCCTGAGGACGCGCGGGACTGGAGAGCTCCCCCAGAACACCGTCCTGGTCACGGTCCCGGCCTGTGTCGCATTCAGGCTCACAGGATCCCTAGTTCCTGATCCCTAAGATACTTCTAAAGACTTGACTGCAGGCCCCATCCCGGGACACCCTGTCTGGCTGGTTCCCCGGGACCCCGTGAGGAGGACTCGCCAAGAAGCCAGAGCCAGGTGCCCGTAGCCGTTAGCATCGTGACCGTGTCCAGGGCCGATGACACACAGCCCACAGCTGCGGGTACTGTCTGGCCACCTGAGAAGTCGAGGACGAGGCATGAGACCAAACACGTTTCCTGGCACGTGGGGAGAAGTGAGTGTAGCCCCACAAGCAAAAACTTACACCATGAGAAGAAACGCCATCTTTAAAGGGAGACTCGCAAGGACGGACGGCAGCAGCCTGTGCTGTGACCAGGGGCGCAGGGTCGGGCCACGCAGCACGCCTCCCCCAGCCCTGACCCCAGCCCTGAGCGACGAGGTGACATGCAGGGAGAGGGACATTTCCTGCCGAAGTCGTCACTTCCGCCAGTGCGGAGGGAACGGGCTGTCGTCCAGGTGGCAACAGGCAGGCCCTGCTGCCCGACTCCACGCGAGGTGCACATCACATGGGACGCAGTGGGGCAGCTGGCCTCAGGGCTGAGCACCACGCCACCTGGACTGCCCCCAGTACGCGCCCCCTCGCTGCGCCAAGTGCTCCCCACCCCCCTCAGACCCTCGCGAGCGGCCTAGGGGCTGTGAACCCGAATAGCTTCTCTTAGGGATGGGGACCCTCCCAACACCAGCACGGGTGAAGCGCTGAGTCCCCTACAGCAAGGACAGGTTCAGGACAGAGAGGAGGAGGTCCCACATGAGGACCCTGGCCCTGGGATCCCCTGAGGGCACTGGGTCTGGGCCAGCAACACCAGCAGCTCTCTGGACAGGACGTCCACTCAGACACCGTTCGCACGTCGCTTTTTAAAAATAAGTATTTTCATGTAACTCAGTTATTTCCTTTTGGTCATTCCTTTGAGGTATTTAGCCAGAATTAAAGAATTGATGAAAATGAGCCCAACTCTTAAATTAATTAAAATGGGCCCACGCACATCTACTCTTGAAACACATTAATGAACCATCCAACGACTAGGTCTTAATTTAGCCAGCGGCAGCAAAGGAAACCATCGAGTCTCTGGGGGCTGAAGGTTCAGAAGAGAGACACACCCGCCGCTCCTGCTGGCGGCAGGTTGGCCACCCCGTTAGTCAACAGTACTTCCCGGGGCTTACCGCGGGCCGGGGACACAGCAGTGACCAAAACCGACCCAACTCCCTCTCCTCAGGTGCTATGGGGTGGGGGTGGGTGGACAAAACAAGTAGAGCACCCAGCACACAGGACAGTGGGAAGCAGTGATGGAGAAGCCATGGGCTGGGAGTGGAGGTGACGGGTGCAGAGACCTCGGACAGGACCGAGAGTTTCAGGCGGGGGATGGCAGGCATGCCACCTCGAAGCTGCCCACAGGGCTCCCAGGAGGCCCCAGGCAGGGTCCTCGCCTTCCACCCCGCTGCAGCCACCTGAGTCTGAGGGCTTGGATGTCGCCACCTGGCAAGGTCCCATGTAACTCATCCCGAAGATAACGTGGCCCAACCCTCCACCTGGCTGACCTGTGACAAGGCTGCCAAGGGGATCACCTGCTGGGTTTCCACAAGGCCAGGTGGGACTGACTGGCGGAGCTGTCCCCGCTAGAAGCTGCCTGCGCCCTTCCTCACTGCCCTGCCCAACTCTCGGAAACGTTTGTTGGCCCAGGGAGTTCAAAAATAAAATGAAATGCAGGTTGTTCCTCCCCCAACAGAATGTTCGCAAGTGGCAAAAAGGCTAATTAGCAACAGAAGCGCTGTTTCTTCTGAGCTGGTGCAACTGACATAACAGCCCATCTTGTGCGGTGACAACAGTGCAGTATGACAATTTGTTTCTTACAGAAAAGAACTGAGCGCTATAAAAATATCCTGACAACCAAAAGGCTTTGTCTCCAGGGCCAACTGTTTTGTACGTTAAACTAACCTCCCAGGCAAGTACTCATCAGATGCCTTCCTGAGCATCCAAAACCCGGCCTGAGAGCCTACGGAAGAGATGGTGGAACGCGGGGACGCAGAACTGTCTGTCCACTGTCACCCGATGACTAAAGGCAAAATGACGATGCTAAAATGAACACCCAAAGGATCTTAAGAAAATGGCCTTTTTTTTTTCTTATGGTGTGATTACTGACATAACTTAAAACATTATTTTGGCTAAGACTGAAACCCGAGACCCATCGCTGCCCTTCTGAAGGGACGACAGCCCATGAGGTCACCTTCACCGCAGGCCGACCCCCTCTGCTCCTCGGCCCCATGGCTACCTCTGCGGTGACCTCACGCTCAGACTCGAGCCGAATGCCCGAGAGCTATCACTGTGGCCAAGACTGAGAAGATGCGCGTTCCGACAGAGCTGACGTTCTCACTCGCAAAGCGAGGGGCCTAAACATACTTCGATGAGCGTTTTCTAGCATTTTATTCTTATCCTCCCAGAAGGCCAAAAATGAAACCCAGCGGCTTCCAAGCAAGAGATCTGTGTGTCGACTTGGTGACAAATGTGCCAGTTGCCCAGGCAGTGCCCTGCTTACATGTCCCTCCTCCAGGCCCACTGTTCTTCAACCCTGGCTTCTTACCGGCCCCCTTGCTCTGTGCGCCCCCGCGGGCCTCCCCTTCACACAGCACGGAGCAGGCCCCCCGCATCCGGGCCTTCAGACAACCCAGGAGCACAACGACTGATCAGCGTGCTGTGCTCCCTTCCAGGACCAACACTAAACAGTGCGAAGCACGGACAAGCCGCTCACCTGCCGAGCCTGCTCTGGGCGCCCCCTGTCCTCTCTTTAAGTGGCTGGGGACGGTCCTAATGCAGGGAAGGACATTTTAGCTGGACTGTTACTAGTTCTGTCTCAAAAGTCACATTCAAACAGACTCTCCCTCCCTCCAGCCACCCCCAGGGCCACCTTCTGAAGGCCAAAAAAAAGGAAGCAGTCTCTTAACACCTGTGGGCAAACGTGCCTCCTGTACCCTCCTCCATCCTCTGCCATTCTTAGGAGGTCCCAGTGCCTCTCTCTGTACGGCTTGGGTCCCACAGGCTCGTCATGACACTGTGATTTGGGAGTCCACCCCCAATGGAAGAGCCACGGGACCTCAGCTGACTGTCCCCACACCCTGGACCTGTCTTCAGCCCATTTTCCCCCATTGGAACCTCAGCTGTGACTCACCCATCATGCCCAGAGCCCCCTAATGTCATGCGCAAGCCAGGGCTCCCCACTCTGGGTGTTCTGTCCTCACCGTGCAAGTGTGGCCGACCTCAGAGCTGTCAGGATGTAAGCAGGTGGGGTGTGGAAAGCACTCGGTACACAGGAGCTCAAGGGAGGGACTCGGTCCTGCTTCTCACACACCTGCTCCCAGAACCGCACCGCCCAGCGAGCTGCGGCTGGAAACAGACTGAGAATGCAGTCCATCGCTTTATAAAACTGTCTCTAGAAACTGTTTTCAATTGCTACTGTTAAAAATGTAGCTTCCGAAAATCAACATGCCCCTTAGCATCTAGGAGACAGTTTGGAACAAAAAAATAAACTAACTGGCTCCACTGGGGACTCTTAAACCATGGAGTACAAAGAATAGGAGATTCTGTGGAAACACAACAGTCTTCCCACGCCCCTAAAACCTAAAACCCCCTAGGACTGATATTTGAAACAATTTAGTCTCATCATCACCCCAGGGAACTATGCCCAGCTATAGGAAGGGCCAACATTTATTACCACTTGTATTTGACCTGTCAGAAAAAGACAGTGCGAGCCGATTTTCAATAGGGCTTCACTGATTACCTACTGGACGTGTTCAACTAACTGCATTCCTTTGCATGTTTTTTAGAAGTTTTCCTATTTTGTGTTTGTAACCAAACTGCCCAGTTTTCCTACTTTTTCACTTATCACACCATTTCCTACACTTTCCACAGACATCGGCTTTAAGGCCTAAGTCTCTAAAGCCGACTTTTATGAGCTCTCCTAGCTGTAACAGAAAACGATTGCACACCTTTTATTATTATTTTTTTTACGCCTACAGCATCTGGAATTCCTACGTAGTCTTCCATTCGAGTACTAACCAAGCCTCTCCCTGGCATACAGTTTTTAAAGATGCTTTTAAGCTCTGTAAAAAATCAAAATAAAAAAAGCCACAAATAATTTCTCAAAAGTGAAAATGACATAAAAGCTGTTCAATCTCAACTGCAATTTTAAAACTAAAGATCTATTTTTTGCCCTGCTAACATGAAAAAATAAAAATAACACCCAGATTTTGAGGAAATGAGAATTCTAAAAATAGGTATTTTCTGGAAGGCAGATTGGCCAAAATGTATGAAATGTAAAACGTGCCTACCTTTGACTTGGCAATTTCACCCCTAGGAATTTATGCCAAGGAAAGACAAGAGGAGCGAGCAAAGACGTTTATATGACACAAAGATGTTGATATTGTAAGACTGAAAAATAAAAAGCCCAAACATCTATCGACAAGAGACTGGGTACCAAATTCAGCACTGCACAGAGTTCCTCTGGACTGGCCAGCTTCACAGTCCTGGCCACTACTCAGTACGAACAGATGTATTCAAATTCAACACATCGAAATGAAAGCAGTAGAAAATACTGAAATCAAACTATATCCACAACGTCAAGTGA